ATATATAATTATTATTTCTTAATCATTTATTTTAATCAGCTTTTTGTTGTTTACTTATATATTTTAGTCTGTTTTATATATCTTTTTCTCATTTTTAGTTTACTTTTATATTTTAATCTAATTTTTAGTTACCTTATGCATATTATATTTATGTACCTAATGTCTAATTTTTATATTGTTTTTAATTTTTGCTTTACTTATATTTTAATTTAGGAATTTTCCAAATCATTTATTTTAATATTTATATATATATATATATATATATATATATATACGTGTGTGTGTGTGTATATATATGTATATATGTTTTAGTCTAATTTTATTGTTCACTTAATAATATAATTTAGTCTTATTTTTTTCACATTTTTAGTTTACTTATAAATTTAATCTGTTTACTAATTTAATTTAAAAAAATTTTTTATTGCTTACTCAATCTAATTATTCAAATCTTATTTTTTAACTTCTCACTCTTATTTAAATCTAACTTCAATCTCATTTTTAAACTCGCTGATTAATCTCCAGATGCACACCAGTCTTGGTTTTTTCTAAGGCACGTTTATAAAAACTACTTGAGAGTCCTGTCTGTGAAACCAGGCCGTAAACACCACAGTCTGCAAAGCCCTGTTCTGGTGCATCCTCTGATGGAGCACCACAGGCTTTTATTCCAGGATGGATGGTACCTTGTGGCCGCTCTCGCTGGATACTTTGATTTTAGTTTACTTATAAATTTAATCTGTTTACTAATTTAATTTTAAAAAAAATTTTATCAAATTTTTATTGCTTACTCAATCTAATTATTCAAATCTTATTTTTAAACTTCTCACTCTTATTTAAATCTAACTTCAATCTCATTTTTAAACTCGCTGATTAATCTCCAGATGCACACCAGTATTGGTTTTTTCTAAGGCACGTTTATAAAAACTACTTGAGAGTCCTGTCTGTGAAACCAGGCCGTAAACACCACAGTCTGCAAAGCCCTGTTCTGGTGCATCCTCTGATGGAGCACCACAGGCTTTTATTCCAGGATGGATGGTACCTTGTGGCCGCTCTCGCTGGATACTTTGATCCGTCCTCCTCCTGAGTCTGTGCTGTCAGAGACTTGAGCTGGAGTGAGAAAGCTTTCATCTGGAGTGGAGTACCAGCCTTCATACGTGCCTTTGTAGAGGAAGCCTCTGCTGTGGAGGACCGTCCAGAAGTCTTCAACGGCCCGTCTATGCCTTTGCTCTGTGGTTCTGATGTAGTCAGTGTATGAAATGCTACATTTTTGGAAAACATGCTTGAAACTCTGTGATATCTCAGTGCAGAAGCTCAGAGGCTCTTTACCAGCACTGCTGGCTGCCTGCTGGATCTTCAGACCATGTTCATCCGTACCTGCAGATACAAACAGCTCACTATAACACACTGATCTAAAGTTAGTATCTCACTGTCTTTCAGTCATGCAGCACTGACATGTATAAAACATACCTGTGGCAAATCTGGAGTCGTATCCCTTTAAGAGTTTGTATCTGTGCAGACAGTCGGCGGTGACGGCGGAGTACACGTGACCGATGTGAGGAGACGCGTTGACGTAGAAGATGGGCGTCGTGATGTAATATGGTCTCGAGCATCGCGACGCCTGACGGTCGTGAATACTGTAGACGCGCGGAAATCTTCCGTGGAGAGCGTGACTGGATAATCTCAGTGCTGTTCTGGCTCGAGTGAGAAAACGGCACGGAGACCTCATCACGAGACTGCTGCTCCCAGTCGCGTGAGCGAACATCCGGGTCAGCGCTGTCACGCCTGAGCTAACTTTCAAAGAAAAGGTCCAACAAATATTCCCTACTTTGAGATGAATTTGTCACGCTTGAAATCAGACGTTTTAGTTTTGTGTAAAATATACGTTTTATAGATATATTTATTTTGTATATATATATATATATATATATATATAATGTGCGTATAAACATGTAATATTTAAAAACCTATTTAAATTAAATATGTAAATATATATTTTATGCATACATAATATATTTAAGTTGATATTTAATATTTAAAATCCACTCGTAATGACTACAATATATAAATTTTAAATATTTTTGAATTATTAAAAATATTTAAGATGCCTACAACTACCCAAGTATTTGATTCTGCTTGCTTGATGATTCTGTTGTAATTCTGATCTATATTATTGATCAATATATGTATTATATTATATTATTGCGCATTATAGATCAGTGCCTTATTTGCAATCTGCTAGCAATTTAAGGTTTCAAAAACAATGGTCTGAGTTGAGAAATTACTGTTTGCCACAGTCCTTACTAATCAGGGTATCTTCCGTCCATTCCAAATCCGTTTTCAATTAAAAAACGGAAGATACCCTGATTCTTACTCTAATCTCAAATTAAAATCTTAAAATCAACAGGAAAATCTGAAATTGAAAGTGGCCATGAAATTCAAAGAGATTCCGAGTGGAACTTTTGTGTTGGACCTTTTAGCTCCGCCTTGAACCGGAAGCGGTCCTGTTGTCTCTCGATCGGCGTTTTATCATCCGCAGCCTCATTCCTCCCTGAAGTTACAGTAGAATAATGAATTGAACTCTGTAATTTACTCTTTACATTCTACAGATCGACCGTCTAATCCTCCTCTGTGCTCGGGCTGATAGTGTTCGCGGGATCTCGTCGCTGTTGAGATGTCAGTGGTGGGCTTTGATGTGGGGTTTCTGAGCTGCTATGTAGCGGTAGCTCGCGCCGGAGGAATAGAGACCGCGGCCAATGAATACAGCGACCGAAGCACACCGTGAGTCCGCTTTATTCGCTGCTCTACACACACACCGCACGCCTGAAGCTCGGAGCTCTGACTGAGCAGATCCGCTGTGAACTCGCATACCATAGCGCTACATGAAAATACCGCGGTACTGTAAAGAACACTGTGGTGTACCAATAGTAGCGTACCGTTTGAAAATCACGGTAACGTACTTTTTAGTAGCGTTGGTTTTGAGAAACAGAACTGATAGTTAACACGCCAACACTGAACCATTATTTATTTATTTTATTTTTTATTTATTTGAGAAATCAGGCTTAAATCTCGTGTTTTATTCAGATAAAAAAAATTTTTTTTTTTTTTTTTATAAGTGTAAATGTTCCACTTGGTAGGATTTTATGATTATTTCTATTATTATTGTATGTAATTTTTAAAAAAAATCTCTGTATATATATATCTATATAAGGTGTGTGTGTAAATAAACGCATGCTGTATTATTAATTATACCTGTGCAGTTATTTGTCATAATGTTTGCTATTTCAGAGCATGTGTGTCTTTTGGGCCACGAAATCGATCTATTGGAGCGGCAGCTAAAAGCCAGGTATGTGATGTGTAGACGTTAGTCAGCTGAGATGCTGGTTTTAATGCAGTCTTTTGTGTTTGTGATCATGCATGATTTTACTCATGCTTTTTTGTCTCAACTGAAACACAGATGGTCACCAATTGCAAAAACACTGTCCAAGGATTCAAGCGTTTCCATGGTCGGGCGTTCTCGGATCCGTTTGTCCAGAACTTGAAGTCCAGTCTCGTTTATGACCTGTCACAGATGCCTTCGGGAACGACGGGCATAAAGGTGAGAAGCTACAAGTGAGACTAGATCAACAAGAAACCCGAGACTGATTCGTCACGTGCAAACACAACATTTGTGAGCTGACTGAGCGCACTGTGCCAGCGTTGTTCAGAGGTCTAGTTTTGGCAGCAAACCCTTCTTGTGAAGCCAAGCGCGGAGTTCTGTCGTGCGGTGAATGCGAGAAGGATGAGCTGTTCTTGTCCTTTAGCACTCGTGTGTTGTATGTTGCAGGTGATGTACATGGAGGAGGAGAAGGTGTTCAGCATTGAACAGATTACTGCGATGCTCCTCACCAAACTCAAGGAGACTGCCGAGAGCGCCCTCAAGAAACCCGTCGCCGATTGTGTCATCTCTGTGAGTGCGTCCCTAAAGATGTTGCATGTGATTGGTGGGTGCTGAACCAACGTTTCAGAGTCAAAATGCGGCGCTGTGACAGGCTCGTGCAACAGCACTTAATTAATTAGTTATTGTCTCCTTTAGGAGAAATTTGTCTTGAGCGATCAAGAGAGCAGGTCAACATACAACAAGTACACAAAAACACCATGCATCAATCATTACATGATACTAATATTACACTATACGTACTCTAAAGACTGCTTCAGTTTGCAATCAATGAATAGCGCACAGTTATGATATGTTGTAAGAATGCATGTTTTATCTCCTTCATATGAATTCGAATGAGCAGCCTGCAATAGTAAAGCATAGACATTTCAAAATAAGCGTCCCGGTGTATTCTGGGCTTGTTTATAAATAAAAGTCGGGCAGTATGTGTATTTTTTTTCCCTCTGGTTATTATTTGGTTGCACTAACTGTACTTAATTTAATTTTACATTTAATTCAATGTGAACTATTGTTGCTTTTATTCGGGATGCCCTATGACAGGAAGGAAAGACAAAGGACATTATATCTATATATCAATATATATATACATTTTACTAGTATCAGGGTTATTATAGTTAACTAAAACAATAAAAAAAAAAATTTGAAATAAAGATAAATGTGAACTGAAATTAAATGAGATAAAAAAAGATGTAAACTCATATTTTCATTTAGTTTAACCTGATATACTAAACTAAAACAAAAAAATATAAATTTTTAACTATACAGACAAGTTTAAAAACTAATAAAAATGACAAAAACAGGACACAGTTACTAAAACTTTTAACTAAAATGAAAGCAGAAAATATAAAACTTCAAAAATTCTAAATATTAATTAAAAACAAATATATATATATATATATATATATATATATGTGTGTGTGTGTGTGTGCGTTAAATGTGTAGAATCCACATAAGCTTGTTTTTCATCAACCGGTCGAAATTTACAGCAGGGCATGCAAATTCGGTCTGTTTTTGGCCAGACAGAAACTGCACACAGGCTGAATGTAAATATAAGTCTCTGTAAATCCACTCGGTGACAGCAGGTGGCGCTTATGGAAAAGCAGAATTGGAGCTGTTTCCCGTAAACTCCGTGCACAAAGCAGTATTGCGATTAAGAACACTTCCTTTAGGTATTACATGGAGCGAATATGAAAACAAAATGCCATCGAATCGTTTCTGAAGAAGACAGTAACCTTCAGAGGTACAATCAAATAATTAATTCATTCATATATTCATTTGTATAATTCCCTTAGCACTCTTTTAAAACCTCCCAGCTTTTCCACCCTGTTTTCACTCAAAACGAAACTACTCTGCATGCTGTGCGCATGTGAGACTGTTACTTAAAACTGTGCTTTAAAACTGTGCTTTATGCTGGACAGTATTTATTTATCACGGTGTGTGTGTGTGCGTGAGAGAGAGAGTGTGTGTGTGTGTTATTTATTATATTTTGAAGCAGATATAGTTGAAAACCTAGTGTCTGATTTGTATTTTTTTATAAATTAAATGTTTTTGCTTGATGATGTCTCGCTGTATCCCTTTATTAAGGAAAAACACATTATTTGCTGATTTTTCATTGCGCCCCTAAAGTTTCTAAATGCGCTCCTAAATTGTTCAAAATGTGCTCCTTAGGAAAAAGTAAGCATCAAGCCCTGCATGGTCATTTTTCCCTCAGCTGTAAATTAGTTATTGGAGACAGAAATCCACCTTAGGTTCTCTGAATGCTCTGAAATCACTTTCCTAAGCGAATGCTGCTTTCATCCCGAAGGTCCCCTGCTTCTACACCGATGCTGAGAGGAGATCCGTCATCGATGCGGCTCAGATCGCAGGACTCAACTGTCTGAGGCTCATGAATGAAACCACCGCAGGTGAAGTGTTCAGGGTGTAACGCGGCGTTTCAGTTGTAACACACCCACTTTCTGTCCTTGAGTGACATCTGTGGTTTTTGCATGCAGTGGCTCTGGCTTACGGGATCTACAAGCAGGATCTTCCCACTCCTGAAGAAAAGCCAAGGACAGTGGTGTTTGTGGATATTGGCCATTCAGGCTACCAGGTCTCTGTGTGTGCCTTTAATAAAGGCAAGCTTAAGGTGTGTGCCAATGACAGTTATACCCTCAAAAGTGATCTTGACTGTTATGTAGTTATACCCTCAAAAGAGATCTTGACTGTTATGTGGAATAGGGATGTAACGGTATGAAAATTATCACGGTTATAGTGACCAAAATTATCACGGTTATCGGTATTATCACGCTATTGTTAAAATGCGCTGAAGATGTTAAAAAAGAACCGACACATAAATCGCTTCACCAAGTTTTGTATTTAAAAATCAACAAACAACCAATAAAATGACTTTTTGTTTGCATAATCACTAAAACAATAACATTACCAATGATGTTCGGATTTTAAATGACAACTTGACTGACAACAGTTTAATAGCATGTTCAAATATCTAATGTAAATGTTCAAATAAAGCTTGCTTAAAGTTTCATAAAAAGGTAAACCTCACATTTCAGCCTTTAAATAAAGAAAAGATATTAGTCAAACTGATAATTTATTAATTCAATGATTATATGTATTTTATCTGCTTCATGAATAATTCTTGATAACTTATCTGAATTGTTTAAATGTGTAGAATCCACATAAGCTTGTTTTTCATCAACCGGTCGAAATTTACAGCAGGGCATGCAAATTCGGTCTGTTTTTGGCCAGACAGAAACTGCACACAGGCTGAATGTAAATATAAGTCTCTGTAAATCCACTCGCTGACAGCAGGTGGCGCTTATGGAAAAGCAGAATTGGAGCTGTTTCCCGTAAACTCCGTGCACAAAGCAGTATTGCGATTAAGAACACTTCCTTTAGGTATTACATGGAGCGAATATGAAAACAAAATGCCATCGAATCGTTTCTGAAGACAGTCAGAACCTTCAGAGGTACATTCATATAATTAATTCATTCATATATTCATTTGTAAAATTCCCTTAGCACTCTTTTAAAACCTCCCAGCTTTTCCGCCCTGTTTTCACTCAAAACGAAACTACTCTGAGTGCTGTGCGCACGTGACACTGTTACTTAAAGCTGTGCTTTATGCTGGACAGTATTTATTTATCGCGAGTTGTTCAGATCGCGGTAATCTAGTACGGTTTTAATGATAATTAAAAGATGAAACGGTAATACTAACCGTGGGGAATTTTATCATGATTTATCGTCAAACCTGTAATCGTTACATCCCTAATGTGGAAATCTAAACGGATCGCTTTTTCTGCCCGTACAGATTCTTGCTACAGCCTTTGACCCTGAAATGGGAGGAAAAGACTTCGATGAGCGGCTGGTCAAACATTTTTGTGAGGAGTTTGCCGTGAAGTACAAGCTGGATGTGAAGTCCAAGCCCAGAGCTTTGGTCCGACTCTACCAGGAATGTGAGAAGCTCAAGAAGCTGATGAGCGCCAACTCCTCTGACCTGCCGCTGAACATCGAGTGCTTCATGAATGATATCGATGTCTCCAGCAAACTCAACAGGTACGCAGTTATTTAATCTCAGCTGAAATGAAACCAGCACTTGCAATCACATGTTCTCATATCATGTTGTCCCAAGCCTGTATGATTTTCTTTGTTTTTTCGAGGACCAAAAAAAAAAAAGCAGGATATTTGGATGGGTTTTCAAGCTGCTCTTTTTCATAGGTCAAGAAACGGGTTGTCAGGGTTACAAAACATCATTAAAGTTCAAGTAATCCATACGACTTGTGTGCTACATTACAAGTCTTAAAGGGATAGTTCACTAAAAAAATCATAATTTACTCAACCTCGTGTCACAGAGTTTCCGCGGGTCTCAAAAAGTCTTAAATTTAGTTGTATAAACTTTAAGCCATAAAAGGTTTTAAATAGTACAAGAAAGTCTTAATTATGATTTCAAGAGGTCTTAAATTTGGGGACGAAAAGACAAGAATTGGCTATGATTTCATTGATTAAATATGAGCGCTGCAGGTTTAAAAAACTTTGTGTACTGCAATTACCGCATGTTTTCTGCTTTTCTGAAAGCGCCACCTGCTGGCAGAGAATGAATTTGCATTTTCAATCAGCCCGTCTGCTGTTTTTGTTCAGATCGGTGTGAAAATTGACCCCTAATTTTACACGGTTGTAAATGTGAACCAGTGGATCGACAAGAAGCAAATGCATTATACAAATCTAAACATTTAAGACACTAAGATATATTTATGTTATTAAATTAATCTGATTGATTGATTGATAAATGTTTAAATTAATATAGTAATTGATACTTTTGACTCTCCCTTTTCTTAAAAATGGTTTAAAGGCTGTTTATCATTTATTAAAGTTTTTGTTTTTGTGAAAACCTGTATCTGAACTGTACACGGACATTTTAAAGTTTAAAATGTTTCCATAGACCCCGCTCATGTGGTATTCATTTTATTTGTGCAGGTCTTAAAAAGGTCTTTAAAAAGTCTTACATTTGATTTTAATAATCCTGCAGATACGCTGTCACAAGTCTTTCATTCATCTTCAAAACACAAATGAAGGTACTTTTTCTGTCCCTCCATTAAAAGTCCATTATACCAAAACTTGCTTCAAAAATTCATATAGACATTGTAAACGTAATCTATATGAATCGAAAATGAATGTATTTGCATATGTGTGTTGATCAATGTTTATATGTGAATAAAAGTAAAAAATTAAATCTGGTTATCATATAAAGTGATTCCGTATTCAGTAATCTTTTTTTTAATTTTATGAAGTTTTGATATAATGGACTTTCAAGGGAGGGACAGAAATTTCTCAGGTTTCTTTAAAAATATCTTCATTTGTGTTTTGATGATGAATGAAAATCTGGTTTGGAATGACATGAAGTGATGACAGAATTCAATTTTTTGGGTGAACTATCCCTTTAAGAAGACCACTCAAAATCCTGAATCTCGCCCATCACTCATATCTCATTTGCATATTCAGTCTTGAGCCTTAACCAACAGCATGCAAATGAGATCTGAGTGCCACAGTGATTCTTTCAGCAAGTCATATAGGGTTTGTAATAACCATTTAGTTCACAGCTTGTTATACATTCATACATTCCCATCAACTGCAGTCATCCTGACAGTAGTTCATTTTGAGCTTATATATTGTTTTATACAACAGGGCTCAGTTTGAAGAGATGTGCGCTGATATTTTAGCCCGAGTGGAGCCTCCGCTGCGCAGTCTATTGGAGCAAGCTCGTAAGTAATGACCCTTCCTTGGAGAATAAGGCTATATGTGACCCTGGACCACAAAACGAGTCATAAGGGTCAATTTTTTTAAATTGAGATTTATACACGATCTGAAAGCTGAATAAATAAGCTTTCCATTGATGTGTAGGATAGGACAATATTTGGCCGAGATACAACTATTTAAAAATCTGGAATCTGAGGGTGCAAAAAAAATCAAAATATTGAGAAAATCATCTTTAAAGTTGTCCAAATGAAGTTCTTAGCAATGCATATTACTAATCAAAAATTAAGTTTTGATATATTTACAGTAGGACATTTACAAAATATCTTTATGGAACATGATCTTTACTTAATATCCTAATGATTTTTGGCATAAAAGAAAAATCACTAATTTTGACCCATACAATGTATTGTTGGCTATTGCTACAAATATACCCCAGCGACTTAAGACTGCTTTTGTGCTCCAGGGTCACATATGTCATAGAAATGATTAATTCAACCGTTTGTCACCTGCTCCTGTGCAGATCTGAAGAAAGATGACATCCATGCTGTAGAAATAGTGGGCGGAGCCTCTAGAATGCCAGCCATCAAAGAAAGAATCAACAAGTTCTTTGGGAAGGAGCCGAGCACGACGCTGAATGCAGATGAGGCTGTGGCCAGAGGATGTGCCCTTCAGGTTAGGTTACGTTTCCTCTGCTGACTCAAGCCATGCTCATAGTTTAACAAGACTGGATTTGAGAACAGCTGTGACCTTTTCGGCCACATTTACACTGCAGGTCTTGATGCCCAATTCTGATTTGTTGCATATATTCGATTCTTTTGATGACCAGCTCACATCTTCTTTTAAAAGTGACCTATATCTGATATCTGCATTCAAACTATACACTTGGCAAAACAACCTAGAAACGGGGTTGCCAGATCTGCGAAACAAAGCCAGCCTGATTGATAATAAAAACTATTATTTAGTTTTTCCACAGTTTTCCCCTCCGTTGGGATCACATTCCGGGGAAGAGGAGATCACTTCAACCCACAAACTTAAAACAACACGTGGCAACAGTGTAAAAGTAGCCCAACTTGGCAACCCTGCCCGAAAAAGCCTCCACCTGAGTCGACATCTATCGCCACCATAACCTTTTCAGCGATGTATGACTCATTGATGGGAATATCCGATCTGCAGACGCAAATGCACATATCAGATTCATATCTGATTTATTTCCACCTGAAACCGATCGGAGAATATCAGAATCCATGTGCTTTTTTCCTGCTTAAACATTCATGGTCATATCCGATCTGTGCCACATGAGAGGAAAAATCTGAATTGTGCCACTTGAACCATGTAATGTAAATGCAGCCTTAGTGTTTTTTCCCCTCCTCACTGGATCTGTCTCCTGATCCCACAGTGCGCTATCCTCTCCCCTGCTTTTAAAGTGCGTGAGTTCTCCACAACAGACGTTGTTCCGTTTCCCATCTCTCTGAAGTGGAATTCTGCAGCTGAAGATGGAGTCAGGTACAAACATGTAACGTTCACTCATCATGCTTGATACTGCTCTGTTTTTATTTACATTGCTCTTTCGTTTTTCATTTCAGCGACTGTGAGGTCTTCCCAAAGAACCATGCATCACCTTTCTCCAAAGTGCTGACGTTTTACCGCAGAGAGCCGTTCTCTTTGGAAGCGTACTACAACTGCCCTAAAGAGCTCCCTTATCCAGATCCCACAATAGGTACACACTCACACTCACACTTACACACACTCACAAACACTCAAGCAAACACACACACACACACACTCACACACAAACACACGCGCACAAACACTCACACACACAAACACTCACACACACTCTCACAAACACACACAAACACTCACACAAACACACTCACACACACAAACACTCACTCTCACAAACAAGCACACACAAACACACTCTCACACACAGAAACACACACTCTCACAAACAAGCACACACACAAACACTCACACAAACACACTCACTCACAAACAAACGCACACACACACTCACACAAACACACTCACTCACAAACACACACGCACACTCACACAAACACACTCTCACAAACAAACACATGCACACAATCACACAAACACTCACGCTCACAAAGACACACAAACACTCACACACACACACAAACTCTCACAAACACACACAAGCACACTCACACACACAAACACACACTCTCATAAACAAACACATGCACACACACTCAAACACTCACTCTCACAAACAAACGCACACTCACACACACAGACACACACTCTCACAAACAAACACACATGCACACACAAACACTCATTCTCACACAGACACACACACACTCAGGGTGCAAAAGTAAAGGTCTCTGCACACTGAGTCCGAATTTTTCGTCCGAAATGTTCGCACATTGAAAAATAAATACGACCTCACGTTGTGTCAATCACGTTTACACACTGCCTCCGAAACTTTCGTCCGTCATAAAAAAAATTTGGACCAGGTTCAATTTTCTACGTTTTCTCATCCATAGCAAGCATTTTGATAGGAAAGGAACAAACAAGCACACACACAAACACTCACACAAACACACTCACTCACAAACAAACGCACACACACACTAACACAAACACACAAACACACTCACTCACAAACACACTCTCACAAACAAACACATGCACACTCTCTTTCGTCCGTCATAAAAAAAATTTGGACCAGGTTCAATTTTCTACGTTTTCTCATCCATAGCAAGCATTTTGATAGGAAAGGATGACGAATACGTAAAAACGCATACGAAATGTTCGGACTCCGTGTGCAAGGACCTTAACACTCGCCAAGTGCCATTTGTGAGTTACTGGCCAATTTGTTTTTTTTGTTTTATTTTTTTAGAAATCTCAAAATAAAGAATTATCTACAGAACCAGTAAAATTACACAGATCTGAGATTAGCATTAAATGCATACACCAGAAATAAATGGCGATCAGAATGAGATCAGTGCTTAAACAACAAATTACGTGAAATAAATCTTGATGTTTGGAAAAGGCATGTATTCCATTTTGAAGTCATTTGCACATGACTAAATTTTTACTATCAGGAGAAAATACCCCAAAATCTTATACATCTTATTTAGTTTTAATTACAAAAAATCTAAATCCGGCTCTTGTCATAAACATAGCCATAGAAGCTGGCATTGTTAAAAAGGTAGGGGGGGAAAAATCACAAAATAATGCATGATTTAAATTGCAGTGTAACCACAATAGTCTGATCCTCTTTGTTTTATTTATTGTTCATAATTGTATTTATTTTTATTTTTTTTCATCTAGCATTAATGTCAGCATGAAATGAAACTTCAACCATGCTATATTGTAAAAGCATGTTATTGTGAACAATTCATCAGTTGAATTTTTTTTTTAAACAATTAGACCTTCTCATTTTTAATTGAAATGTCAGACCTGAATCTTCTGGAAAAAAACGCCGGACTGCTCTCTTATGAAGTTTGCAGAACTTCAACTATCAGCCTTCACATTTGAGCGCAACATCCACATCTCAACATCAGAATCTGATTCAAAGAAAGAAGTCCCACCTTACATTTTTCTTCTTGGATGTACGTTACAATATGCACTAAAAGATCTACTGCCGTTTCCATTTCATCTGTTAGCTATCTAAGAGATACAGATGGACTGCTAAGGAAACCATGACTTTTCCCTCAGTGTTGTTCTCTCTCACTGACATAACTCCAGTCTTATTTCAAAAACCGAGGAGCATTGAACTACTGAAATGTAAATGCGTGAAACAAAATCACAATGTTTGTGTGACCTTGTGTCTTCTTACAGAGAGACTAGCGGATTCATGGTCGACACAATGAGAAAAATAGCTCAATTCTGTTGCTATACAAACTAAAATCATCCAAAAACGTATTTATATGGCCAGTAATCTTTCACCTGCCACTTGCATGGGTGGCAAATATTCTGAGCTGTGCACATGCTCTTTTCTTTCCGTGACATATTTACTGTACAGTCTTTGTCATGGATTCATTCTGTATGTAAACATGTACGCTCAAACTCTCACGCAGGCCAGTATGTGATCCAGAAGGTGATTCCCCAGGCCTCTGGCGAGAGCTCAAAGATTAAGGTGAAGGTGCGAGTCAATATCCACGGGATCTTCAGTGTGTCCAGTGCTTCGCTAGTGGAGGTGCAGAAATCTGAGGAAGAAGAGGAGAGCATGGACACCGAGCACAGCACAGAGAAAGAGAATGAGGTATTGCTGCAGGATACTACCGTTCACATGAACTAAACTCTGCTTTAACGCCCTCATCATGATCTGTGTTTTGGCATTACTCCATGTTATTAATGTACATACTGTGAGGCGGTAGAAAACATCCATGCTGCTGACTGATGTTCTGGTGAAGTTACCGCCATGTGTTTCCAATCATTCACAGAGCAAAATGCAGGTTGATCAAGATGAACAAAAGACTCCAGGGACCGGAGAACAGGAAAATGAAGAGAAAAAAGCCGGAACAGAGGAAATGGAGGTAAATGAGAACTACAAATAGCACCTATTAAATGACCCATAGATTTTGAATTGTTTGACAATCATGCTGATTACCATCCATACTAGGGGTGTGCCATATTTATTGTCTGTGATAATATAGTAATTGTTGTTTTAAGGATATGTAAGCTGACATGATCTGATATGCATTACCGTGGGAAGTAGGGGTGCTGGGGGACAGCAGTGTTAGCCATGCATTTTATTCATTTGTATATTCATTAAAATTCATTGAGAGAAAAAAAGTATCCTAAGCCTATGACAATAGGAACAGTAAAAAGTTAAGTTGAATCAAATTGACTGTTTCAACTTATTAAACTGACTTAAAAATAATTTGCTGCAATGACGTTTGGATCATATTATTACCCGTAACATTTCTGTGCCGTACCCAAATTAAGAATTAACGACCATTTCTACAGGCTTTGCAAAGAGTCAGCAGAGGAAGAGCGAGAGCATCTGTTCACCTCAGCAGCAACCAATCTCACATTCTCACATCTGCAGCGCTTATTTTGATCTTAAGGTTGATTCAATATTACTCTTAATGTAAAAAAAAACATCAGCAATACTACAATGACAAAGTCTCTTATATTAAGTATAAAACTTTTATGAACAGAACGAATACGACTAATGTATACCTGGGTTGTAACACAAATAAATAAAAGGTTTTTGGATTTTCCCCTTTCTTTAAAACGAATGCTTAGTTTGTGGCTCATTATAGTAAAAAATACATAGGCTATAGAATAATACGAATAAATAATAGAATATACGCATAAATAAATGGTCTTTGGATTTCCCCTTACTTACTTTGAAACTGTTGTAGTTTGTGGTTCATTATTAGCCTATTAGCCTAATTAAAACATGTCCCAACAACCCCCTCCCCACCCCCCCGGTTTTATTTCTCAGCCCCCCCTGCTCAAAATACGTTCCCACGGCTATGCTGATATGTCACTCATTTTTGCAAAAGCACGTCTTTGAAGTCTAAACTCATGATGAAGCCCATTAGAATGCACTTAAAATGCCCCATCAAGTTATGAAAGCAAAAAATATCCCTGAATGGGTTTTTATTTTGTATATTTATATAGTTAATTTCACATAAGCAACAGCCGTTTTCCTAAATATTAGCGCTTAAACGCAATTGCAAATATGATTATTAATTTTATACAACCGTTCAACAAATAAGAAGTTAATATTGAGCGAGTTACATTTTAGACACAATATTGTCTGTTCTGTCGCCAATTAAAATAGTTCCAATCAAAGCCGGAGCAGAACATTTGTGCGTCTCAGAGCATCACTGCAGTGTTTCCTTCCTGAATGAATCTGTTTTAGAGTCAGTGATTCAATGATCCATTCATAAAGACAGTGCTTCATTTCTAAATGAACCAGCTATTTTGAACGAATCATTTGAATGAATGATTCAGTGAATCACTTAGTAAAGGTATAGTTCATCCAAAAATGAAATTTACCCCATGATTTACTCGCCCTCAAACCATCCTAGGTGTATATGACTTTATTCTTTCAGACAAATTATTTTCTTACACAAGCACATCAGTTCACTTCACAAGGCCTTTATTAACCCCTTGGAGTCGTGTGGAGCACTTTTTATGATGGATGGATGCACTTTATTTTGCTTCAAAATCTCTACCACCATTCACTGCTATAATAAAGCTTGAAAGAGCCAGGACATTTTTTAACATAACTCTGATTGTATTCGTCTGAAAGAAGAAAGTCATAGACACCTAGAAGGGCTTGAGGGTGAGTAAATCATGGGGGTAACTTTCATTTTTGGGTGAACTATCCCTTTAAGACAGGGTCTTGCTGCCACCTACTGGCGGTTTTAGTGTTATATTTATTTATCCATTACAGGCCTAAACCAGCCAAGATACCAGCACAAAAACACACCAAGTAAAATATTGTTTTATTATCGTTATCGAAAAAATCCCAATAAATATTGAGAGATCGTTTTTTGTTAATATCACACGCCCCTAATTCATACGCCCTAATTGTTCCCTCCATGGATTGTGATTTGTTCAGACATCAGCAGAGGAAGGCAGACAGGAGAAGAAATCCGATCAGCCTCCACAAGCCAAGAAGGCCAAAGTGAAAACAAAGGTCCTGGAGCTGCCCATCGAGAACAACCCACAGTGGCAGTTAGCCAATGACATGCTCAACCTCTTCGTGGAGAGCGAGGTATGCTTTCTGTGCAGAATAGAACTGGGGAAACGTTTTCAACAGTGAGTTCAATCGAGTGTGAAATTCTTTTTCCTCAGGGTAAGATGATCATGCAGGACAAGCTTGAGAAGGAGCGGAACGATGCCAAGAACTATGTGGAGGAGTATGTGTACGAGATGAGGGACAAACTGCACGGGATATTCGAGAAGTTCGTCAACGAGAGCGTGAGAGCAGTCACATGGCTTAAAGTCTAAATTAGGATATTTACAAATTGCGAAATGTCTTGAGAAATCTTGAAGCAGTTTATATAAATGAAGTAAAAGAAATTGCTCTCATCAGTGAAATATCTGCATGAAACTATTTTGAAATCCTTGTCTAGTAATCACAAAAGACTGGAAAATTTCTAGACATTCATTAGAAGGTCAGAAGGTGTTTTATATCACTAATTAATCTAAAGATCACAGACTTTTATTGTTATTGTGCAGGTAATAAAAATGGATTATCTTGATCCATGCTGTATTTAATTTAATGTTCTAAAATAACAAACTAAACTTATAAAACATAAAAAATAATAAAAACTTTTTTTTAATTCTAAAAATGACAAAAAAAATAAAAATTGACTAAAATGAATAATGGATAATAATAATAATCTGTATTATATATTATAGTATTTATTAATATTTTTAATTGGCTTTTATTTTTATATATTCAATTTTAATTTTATATTAAGTTTAAATAATTTTGCTTTTGTTCAATTTTTTTTATATATCTTTAGTTTTATTTTGGTTTTAGTAATTTTAGTATTTCAACTTATTTCAGTTAGTATCATTTAAGTTAGCAGCATTTCTGCTTTTCATTTAAGTTTTTCATCTACTATGTATATTTTATTTCAGCTTCATTTGAATTAACGAAAATGATTTGAATAGTTTTCGTTAGCAGTAACTTCAGCGGTGCCTGACTGCCGTCTGCTTTCTCTTACAGGACAGAGATGCTCTCTCATTAAAACTGGAGGACACTGAGGTCTGGCTGTATGAGGACGGTGAAGACCAGCCTAAACAAGTATACATTGATAAACTGGTTGATCTGAAGGTACTAAACATCTTTTGAGGTCTATAATTTATGTATAGCTCACCATGCCAGTTACACACAAAACGAACAGCACTCAGGCACCAAATTATTTCCACTAAGTGCAAAGTACTGGTTCTTTTGACATTGCTAATTATACTTGCGTTATGCATTTAGAAAGATGATGTATTTTGGGCTTGCTAACGTATAAAAAATTTTCTTGCAGAGTCTCGGCCAACCCATTCAAGACAGATACACAGAGTTTGAGGAGAGACCCAAAGCATTTGATGAGTTGGGCAGACAGCTGCAGCAATACATGAAGATTGTAGAGGCCTACAAAACCAAGGTGAGGTTGTGCTGGATAAATGTTCCATAAGGTTTTGCACCTACCTAGTGCACCGTGGCTTCACGTCTTTCTGAATTACAGGAAGAGCAGTATGACCATCTGGAGGAGGCTGAGGTTCAGAAGGTGGACAGGATGGTGAACGATGTCATGATCTGGATGAACAGTAAAATGAACCAGCAGAGTAAACAGAGTCTCGCCGTGGAGCCTGTGGTGAAAACGACAGAGATACAGGCCAAAACACGGGTCAGTCGCAGTTTGTTCATCATTCAGCAGCATGGTACAGATCAAAGTACTGTGGTAGAGCTGGGTGGTATGACGGTACATATCGTGCAAAGTGTCTCTCGTTAAAGATTTTGCTGTATCGTTTATTTTATGGCATGCAAATATATTCACGTAGCACAGTACTACTTAAAAGTTACATACACCTGACCTAAGAGTGATAAAGAAACATGCATGAATGAGAAAATAAAGAGTGGGATGTGCATGATGTTAAATAGAGTTATTAAAAGCAATAAGCAGTGGACAACTCGATGCACGGCACGCGATCGCAAATTCGAGACGTGCATGATGTTAAATAAAGTTATGAAGCGCAATAAGCAGTGAAAAAGAACTCAATGCAGTTCTCGCTCGCATACAGCCGAAGCGCGCGCACAGTTCCCTTTCGCGTCTTATTTCGCTTGAATGGTCAAATACACATAATTGTGTCAAAATGCCCGTCGTGTGGAGTATTCACATAAACACAGTCAGTTATGGCTTAAATTAATATAGGCAATTGGGTGAAAACCGGATGTGTTTCTGTATATTGGATCTGTGCAGTTGGTCTTAAAGGGACAGCAGCCTGATTTACCTGCTGCTGTCTGTGTCATTAATGTTAATCAAACAACAAAAGACAAAGAGAAAATCGCTCACTGCTCATGACTGAATCACTTTCGGATATTTACTAAGAATCAGTTCATTTTTGATTCATAAAGTGAATACTATGCAGTGTTTTTGTTCTAAAGTTGTTCAATTTCTGTAGGATTTATTACTAAATAAATGTTCTGTAGCTGAAAAACTTAAGTTTATTTAATTTGTATTTTTGTTCTGTTGTGTTTGTAATTTGCTGCTTTGTTCTTATTTTTAATAACAAAAATAAAATAAAATAAAAATAGCTGTATTGAGATTGTGAAATAAAATTTTCCATACCGTGAAATAAGATTTTGGTCACATTGTTCATCCCTATACTATGTTATTGCCATCCGATGCCTTAACTGTACCAGGTTAACACGTTCATATTCAATCTCTTCGCATTTTCCACAGGAGCTGTTCTCCACTTGCAATCCCATTGTGACCAAACCCAAGCCCAAAGTGGACTTGCCAAAAGAAGAGAACCCCTCAGAACCGAATGGGCCGGTCAATACGCAAGAAAACCCTGAAGCCCAGCCCAGCGGCACAGAGCAAGCAGCTGCAGACGGTGCAGAAGCCAAGCCTGACATGGACCTTGATTAACCGCGCTGTGTAATGTTATGTTAACGTTACACGTTATGTTATGTAACATAATGTTTTGTTAATGTTAACTTATGTTTCCAGTGACTGCTAACGCTAAATCATCATCCTCACGGCGGGGTGACTCTGCCAATGAGAGAATCAGTGGCTACATTTGCATGTCCTTTTATATTAAGAAAAACATAAATCACAATGCTGTACGACTTTGAGAACAATTCTGTCTGCCAACGATGGATTGAGTTTCTGTTATATGCTGGTTCTGTCAACTGTTGTTTCAATAAATATAGATTGAAACATACATGTGCACGCTTAAATTGTGTAATTATTTTAACACAATGTGAAATGCAGTTTGCTTCACCTATTGATTTCTGAATACATTTACACATGATACTAGTTAACTTCAGCGCATAGGCCAGAACAGGTGAATGTAAAATGAAGTGCGTCACAATATTTGTCAGGTTTACCCGTGTAACCAGTGCTGCAAATAATTTCTAAATGCTTTAGTTCACATTCAACATCCTATGTTTGCCTTTGCACATCTCGGATCCAGTTTACTTGCAGTTAAACCCTGCATCACTTCTTTTGAAACACCTGGTTGTCAGTTCTCTTTTTGTGTGTGTGTTTCTATGGCACGTTCCACAAATATGGTAAATTGTAAATATGTAAATGCATCACTCTTAAATGTGGATTTTGGCCTTAATTTTCAACTTAAATTTAAAATATTCAAGAAATTAACAGTCTGTTGAAATGATATTCAGTTCATTATAGTAATTTTTAAAAAATTATGACCAAAATTTAATATTTAATTGTGTCCCAGGATTTGCATTCGGCCCTGTTACAGCTTGATGTTCCACATAAATTAATATATCAATACATAAATAAATAAATGAGGGATTTTATATATTTTTTTTTTTTGGACACATTTTGACCGTACTACGGAGCCCTGTGACCAAGTTTCAGTAAGATCTTTTCTGTATTTTCTATATATGCAAACCCCTACCTAAATTAGGCTAAATTATCCATTATGGTGTAATTACATTTTTTAATGTTTATTTGCTTCTCTTAATATTTTATTATTCTGTTGTTTATATTTGTTACCATCTGAATCACACAAACTAGGTTTTAATGTTCCAATAACCGTGAAGAAACCCACTGATAAAATGAATGGTGAATAAAACATTTAATATAATTGAGATTGGCCTCCTGTGGTCATCTATCAACATGTTTTGAAGGTAAAGCACCTCATTTCACAGACCATTTGTTGAACATTAAATATGTTTTTTTATTTTTTATTATGGGTTGCAGGGTCCATTCTTCGTGGAAAGTGGCTTATATACATTTATGGATTAATGAGCTATTTTAAAGTGTATACATTTGTTTCTAAATCATTCCTAAAATTCTATTTTGATGACGCAATGTGTTTTACACACAAACGGCTCTCGATCACATGATCGTGTTCCTCTTCTGCTGGAAGAGTTGCTCACAAACATATGGTAAGTGTTTACTTTACTAACTCAGTACGACAGCCTCTTTTATGCGTCTTTTATGATTTTTTTTTATTAATTTCAGTGTCATCGCGATTTTCTAGTCACGTGTTCTAAAAATATTTTTTTGTAACCAAGAGCAACCGATTATAGTTTGTTTATTAACTTGAGAACAAGTAAGTGTTGGTGTGTCAAAAAGAGTAATGACCTATAAACACCAAAAACAGCCTTCAATAATAACCTGTCGCGTGTTTGCAGTCTATAGTTATAGACACTATCATTTGTTGAACATTAAATATGTTTTTTTATTTTTTATTATGGGTTGCAGGGTCCATTCTTCGTGGAAAGTGGCTTATATACATTTATGGATTAATGAGCTATTTTAAAGTGTATACATTTGTTTCTAAATCATTCCTAAAATTCTATTTTGATGACGCAATGTGTTTTACACACAAACACAGTGAAAAGTGCAACATTTCCTCTCGATCACATGATCGTGTTCCTCTGCGGTGCTGCTGGAAGAGTTGCTCACAAACATATGATCTGGTAAGTGTTTAGTTTACTAACTCAGTACGACAACCTCTTTTATTCGTCTTTTATGATGATTTTTTTTTATTTCAGTGTCATCGCGATTTTCTAGTCACGTGTTCTATAAATATTTTTTTGTAACCAAGAGCAACCGATTATAGTTTGTTTATTAACTTGAGAACAAGTAAGTGTTGGTGTGTCAAAAAGAGTAATGACCTATAAACACCAAAAACAGCCTTCAATAATAACCTGTCGCGTGTTTGCAGTCTATAGTTATAGACAGTATAGAATATCAGTGAAGTGTAGTTAGTTACAGCTGTACTTCCGACCTAATCTGTAGGGGCTGAAGTCTGGAGAAGGCAGGATTGTGACACACACACACACACACACGCACACTCCAGGTCGATTTACCTGTTCGCTTCTCTCAGACACAGATGAAGCCATGAAGCTCATCATACTGGACGACTATGAGCAGGTCAGCGAATGGACTGCTAAATACATCAGGAACAGGATCAAGAAGTTTAATCCCGGTCCAGACCGATTCTTCACTCTGGGTCTTCCAACAGGTAGAGTCATTAAAAAAATGCACTGTTTTGCACAAAAACGTTCATCTGAAATCCTAGATCCTATTCATATTAGCCCTGTTTTGCAGGAAGCACTCCGCTTGGATGCTACAAGAAACTGATCGGGTATCACAAGAAGGGAGAAATATCTTTTCAGTATGTGAAAACATTTAATATGGACGAATATGTAGGTATGTGAGCGCTCGTTTATGCTTGGGGATCAAGGGTTGAACTGCCTGTCATATATTTAGTTGAATTCTGAACTATGTACAAGTGGTTGTTTTTGTTACAGGACTTCCTAGAGACCATCCTGAAAGTTACCATTCATTCATGTGGAATAACTTCTTCAAGCACATCGACATCCGAGCAGAAAATGCGCACATCCTAGACGGCAACGCGTCCAGTCTAGAGAAGGAGTGTCAGGACTTTGAAGCCAAAATCAAAGCTGCTGGAGGAATCGAACTTTTTGTTGGCGGTAAGACAGTCGATTCAACTTTGACCTGTGAGTGCCACCATTAAACAACGCTGGCTTGTAATTGTGTTGCAGGTATTGGACCTGATGGCCACATCGCGTTCAATGAGCCTGGATCCAGTCTGGTGTCCCGAACGCGTGTTAAGACCCTGGCTATGGACACCATTCTGGCTAACGCTCGTTTCTTTGATGGTAATCTCTCTAAAGTCCCCACCATGGCCCTGACGGTTGGTGTTGGCACGGTGATGGATGCCCGAGAGGTACAAATGTTCATATTCGTGCTTTTTCTAATCTACCTTAATGTCTATAAATGTCAGCCCCTCCTTCTACTGCTCCTATAAGAAGTCTCAGCTTTTATCGCCAAACTACGGTAATTACATATTTCACTGGCCACATTCTGCCTTCAAACATTTATTGTAAGCTATAAGAATAACTGCTAACTATAGTCTGCATTTTATTTACAGTAAATAAACTGATACTTAAAAAAATATACATAAAAATGAATTTAAAAATAATATATTATAATAACAATATGCAGGATTAATGAAAAATGTTATGAAAAATGCACACTATTCAGATTTTAAAATAACAAAAAGCCTTTATGCCAGAAATAATGACAGATGGGCCATATCACAAATCTAGGTTTCTCAGAAGTCAGCTTCTTTAGTGGTGAATGAAAACACCACTATAGTATAATTTTTGCGTTCTCATTATAAAAAACTTTGCTAGTCAGGGGCGTTTCTTCTGAGGAGGCAAGAGAGGCAGTGCCTCCTTAAAAAAATTGGATGAGAAAAAAATTCATAGTACAAAAATAAAACAATGCAAATATTACAAAATATGACGTAAAAAATGTATAAATCACTAATTTTCCCTAAAGTAAAACTGTCCAACAGTGACACCAGCAGGTAATGTTACAGCAGCGCCTCCCCTGAGCCCATTGAGTTTTAACAGACCCCTAAAGCGGGGTGTAATTGAGAATGAATGGGGGAAAGTCACTGGAGACGAGGCAGTCAGTGTCCGCGAATCAGTCTGAATAAACAGTAAAATGGCATTAATAGGAAGACTAATAAAAAATAAGTAAACAACTCACACACTTATATTTCACCACTTTGTCAAGTCAAAATCAAACTTCTAATGGCCTGAAAGCATGATCTGGGGTTTTTTTAGTGAGCGATCAGCTTATTACAATTAAAGGTACATCTCCTCATCTGTGACCAGTGTTTACTGAGCTTTGATGATCCGAAAATAAGTTTATTATTAAAAAAGAACAGCTGAACATCAGTTCATAAATAAAATATATAATTGTTTAAATAAAATATATTGTTTAAATTGTTACTGCCTTGCGTTGTTATTTTGGAATAAATTTAAAATGCTTAAAAACACTAAACCGATGAGATTTATACTTGGTTTTAATAAATAGAATAGCCTAGAAATAAATAGAATTTCTATTCTGGAAGTGTGAGTAATGTTTATTTAACCAAGAAAATATGACTGGGACATGAATTTACATTTAATTAAAAAAAAAATTTAAAAATAAAAAAGGATGCAAGAAAAGAAAGTTCAACACTCTTCAGCAATAAAAAAACAAATGTTATGTTTATCTAAAGTCATTTTTACTTATTACTACGCTTGAATTGGATCATCGACGGTCAGCAGCAAAGACTTTGGTTAATAAAATGGGATTAAATACATAAATTATATTTGTGTTATTTAACATTTAATTAATGCAGGTTTGCTTCACTTGACTGTTTTTATTCATTTTGAGGAATGCAGAATCTGTTTTTTGTGCGATATGAGTAAATGCATGTTCACATTTAGTCTACAGTAGCATCATGTTCACACAGCGCACACAACACGTCTGCGCTAGCTCCTGATTTCTCTCAACACGAGGACAGGAGAGCTGTCAGTCAATACATGAGAAAACAAAGTAACTTGCTTTACTTATTTGAAAAAGTAACTCAGAGATTTGCTTGTAATTTTAAAAGTAATGCATTACTAGTTACATCTGATTACGTAACTCGCGTTACCCCCGAGACAAATCATAGTTTGTGAAAAGTATCCATTCAACAGCATCAGCGGTTGTGGGCTGATCTGAAACAATACAACGAACGCTAACGTGATTATATGACATTTTCAGGTCATGATCCTTATCACTGGCTCACATAAAGCGTTTGCGCTCTATAAAGCCATAGAAGATGGAGTGAATCACATGTGGACGGTGTCAGCGTTCCAGCAGCACCCGCAGACGGTGTTTGTGTGCGATGAAGACGCCACACAGGAGCTGCGGGTCAAAACGGTCAAGTATTTCAAAGGTAACACTGACTTCTCTTGTTTTGCATGGCTTGTTGATCTCTGTCTCGCTCCTGAGGGGATGAAGGGAATACAGGGATATTGTGCATGTAAGAAAATTACATCATCAGTTTGTTAATGTGTGTTTTTTGTTTGTTTTCAGGCATTATGGATGTGCACAACAAGATGGTGGAAGAGCTGTAGACGTATACTGATGAGAAGAATGGACGTACAACAGAAAAAAAATTCAGAAACTCCTTTTTCTGTTGTTTTTATAAGACATTTTTTCCTTTTATTAAACCTCTCAATACCTGATGCATTGAATTAAAACTGTGCTTATATAATAATCGACTAGAAATTCTAATTCTTTAAATGTGACCAAATAAATCACAAGTTTATGAATAAATGCACTTACCCCCGGTTTCACAGACAAGGCTTAAGCCTAGTCCCAGACTAAAATGCATGCATGTCTGAGCTGTTCTTGCACTGATGTATCTTAAAATATGTAAGTGTCATTGAGTTGTCTCAAGATGCACACCAGTAACATTTTCTTTCTAAGGCACGTTTATAAAAAAAATGCTTAAATGTCCTAATTGAACTATTGCTTAATCCTGGCTTAATTTAAGCCCTGTCTGTGAAACCAGGCCTCAGTACTTTATTAGTAAATACTTCTCTTCTGAATTGATGATATGGTATTATAGTGTTGGTATTATACCATTGATATGGTATTGATGATAGGTATTATTTCTATACTATTACAGTATTTATTAATATTAGCTTGTTAAATTTTTCTTGTTAATTTAATTATATATATATATATTATTATTATTATTTATTTATTTTTTTTTAAAGAAGACTCTTCTGCTCATCATGACTGACTGCATCTATTTGATCAGAAATACAGAAAAAAACAGTAATATTGTGAAATATTATTGCAATTTAAAAAATTATTTTCTATTTTAATATAATTTATTCCTGTGATGCAAAGCTGAATTTTCAGCACCATTACTTCAGTGTCACATGACTCTTCAGAAATCATTCTTAAATACCGATTTATTACAGTTTTGCTGCTTAATATTTTTTTTGGAACCTGTGAAACTTTTTTCAGGATTCTTTGATGAATAAAAAGTTCAAAAGAACAGCATTTATTCAAAATAGAAATCTTTTCTAACAATGTACAGTACACTACCATTCAAAAGCTTGGGGTCAGTATTTCTTTCTTCTTTTTTTTTGAAAGAAATGAATGCTTTTATTCAGCAAGAATGTGTTAAATTATTTATATTTATATTTTATTTCAGCTTATTTCAGTTAGCAATGACAACACTTGTGGAGGACAGCAATGCCATATTTAACTGTACCATATTATTATCATATTATATTTTTAACTGTGCGAAACTCTATTAGACTAAAGAGCTATTTCCCATCATGTGGGTAAAAAGTCAAAAACATTTCCAAAAGGCAGTTGAGTGTAATCAAGTTCATGCATGACTGACTGAGCAACAATAACTTAGTGATTCTTAATGGTTGGGAATCATACGCCCTCCAGAATCAAATATTACAGCCTCACTACACTTAGCCTACAGTGTTTATTACTGTACTGGGACTGAATACTCCAGACAATGACACTAACTAATCTCTAGGCATTGTAAAGACAAGTTCAAAGGTACTTTTAGTTCAACAGTTTACTAATGGAAACTCTTTTAATTGGTTACATAACAACAGTCTTTGCACTGACATAAATACACCCACGGGCTTTGTTCGAAACCTAGTGAGCTGCCTAATTAGACAGCTGTGCGGAGCGCGTCTCTAGCGGCTGAAGTGCAGTCTAGATAGGCAGCACACTACGCTTTGAGACAGAGCCTGCGCCGAAACCGACTGCGCATGCGCACTCGCCATTGTTTGGACTATAGATTAGCCAAATACTGTCAATCTGTCTTCATACCAGAAGCTTTTAATTAAGGAGCAGACCGTTTTTGAGATTAAGTAAAAGTTACGTTAAACTAGTGATCACTGCTCCTGTATGAGTGTTTAAGTAACAACAGATCGACGCGGAAGAATGACAGACCAGAGGAGTGGATATCAGCAGGTAACGTTAACGTTAACAAACATGATCAAGCTCATTTGGTTTTCTGAGGTGTGTTTCTGTGATTTCGGGTGTTTTATGGACATATGTCGAGTCGATGAGGTTTTTATAATAATTTCTCGGACTCTAAACTGTAATGTTTTGAGGATAGAGAGGATAAACTCCGATGGATTAATTAGCTGGTTAGCCGCTGCTTCCGCGGCCTTCAGTTCGCAGTAACAACAAACCGGAAAAACGAAGAGTTCAATATTGCATATTAATACAATATACCGTTCGTACTTTATCATGTATAATTCTGATCAAGTGTTGTTTGCAGTGATATTTGATCTCATGATAAAACAGTGTTGATTTAGGACAAGACAAAGGTGAACCGGTTTAGTTTTGTTGAATGATCATATAATTTATAACATGGTCCTTTAGTAACGTTTAAATTATCTTAACATTTAAGATATAATACTTATATATTATATAAAGGACTCGTCGGGAATTCGGCACAACATCGGATCTAGGCCACTACAACATACAAAGAGAAAGCTAGAGAAAACGTTTGCGCAATTTGACTTTGTGTGTATATATACATGTATATTTATACACACACACACACACATATATATATATATATAAGTATACATAATTATATACATAAGACTGTGTATATAATGTTATTTTTAATAAAAGATTAATATAAAATTTTCATACAAAAACTAAAATAATGAAAAATGAAATCATATATATATATATTAAAATGTTACATTCATCTTATGTTAAAAATAATATTATGTACACATAATCTTATGTATATAATTATGTATACTTGTATATTTAAAAAATATATATATACATAAAATAAAATGTGTGTGTGTATATATATATATGAGAAAACTCCATCTTCAGGGCCCCATACTTCCCCTCTGCACACACACAACCATGCATATTACACACATATATATATATATATATATATATATAATACACACACATACATATAACATTCATCTTTTATTAAAAATAATATTGTAATATGATATCATTTCCAAAGCATCAGCAGCTTTGTTTTTCTTTTCTCGTGTAGTTGAATAATGAGGAGGAGTCAGTGGAGGTGTTTCAACAAGCCGCTGACGCACCTCCTCCGTACAGCAGCATCACAGCGAGTAACGCAGGTAACACACGTGTGTGAACGCATGTCTGCACAGTCACCACCGCAGGCCAGAAATAACTGATTCCTAACCGCTTCACTGTGTGTCTGATAGCTTTCTTTGAGTACAAAGAGGATGAGGTTTACCCCAAACCCCCCTCATACAATGTTGCCACATCACTGCCGTCATACGACGAGGCTGAGAGGAGCAAAGCGGAGGCCACCGTTCCTCTAGTCACTGACAGGGTGAGCGTTTGTGAGCGTTTTAGGGGTAATTACAGTTAATTAAGCAGTCTTTTGACTCATCTGTGCTTGTACTACAGGATGAGGACTTCATTGCCAGAGACAGCTTTGAAGATACGGATCAGCTGCGTGTTGGGAACGATGGGATTTTCATGCTTACGTTTTTCAGTAAGAGTGCACAGTACTCACCACCACATTGATGCAGAGCAGTTTTTGTCTTTTATTTCTTTCTGTTTAAGATACACTTTGATAGTCTGCTGTGCATTTTGGATGGGTGAATAATTGGGCTGATGGTAGGGTAGTGTGATATTTATCTGCTGCAATAATATTGTAATTGTTGTTTTAATGATATGCAAGCTGACGTTATTGAGGATGTCACTCACTTTGCAAAAAACTAACAAAAACGTATCTTGAGAGTCCAAAAGCATTCAGTGCACTTTTTTCTTATTAGAATGCAGTTAAAATGCCCCTATAATTCAAGTTATGAAAGCAAAAAATATCTCTGTAAGGTGTTTTGTTTTTTATATTTGTATATTTGTATTATTAGCGCGAGAGCGAGTGTGATATTAATTTTATACAACCATTCAACAAATAAGAATTGATATTGAGTTTCATTTTAGACACAATATTGTCTTTTTTTTCTATTTCGACAATGAAAATAGTTCCAGTCAAAGATGGATCAGAAACGTTGTGCATCTCACAGCAACACTGCATTGTTTCGATCCTGAATGAATCTGTTTTTGAACAAATCATTTGACTCAATGATTCAATGATCCATTCATAAAGACAGCCCCTGTGTCCCAATGTTCATACTATCCATCCTAAATAGTATGTGAGATTAGAAGTGTGTCCCAAAACATAGTATCCTGAAAAGAGTAGGCCAAAAGTCCCCGGATGGTCTACCATTTCAGGTCGATTTTTGAAGTGTGGATCCGTGCACACACTAATGGCTAATATTGCCCACAATCCATTTCGGGAAGGATTCGGTTCAGAACTACAAACACAAATAAAAGCGTAAAAAACTACAAACATGGCAGATGTGCGTGACCGACGGTTAAGTAGAGAGGTTTAGATAAAGAGGTTTAAGTTACTAATAATCAACATTTAACCTGGTAAAAATATTAATTTAATGTTATCTGTGTTATATTTCATCTACAACAACAATGTGAACTTTTATAAACATCCGTTAGGCCGTTAAAGGGGTCATATGATGCGGTTTCATTTTTTCCTTTCTCTTTGCAGTGTTACAAGCTCTTGGTGCATAAAGAAGATCTGTAAAGAATGCATCCTTATGCAAAACAAATATGAGCAGAGTTCTCCGCATGAACAGCCGTAGTATAAGTAGGCACATTGGGACGCAGCAGCAGTAACTTGCTTCATATCTAAATGAATCATTTGAAAGAATGATTCAATGAATCACTCATTCAGACAGGGACTTGCTGCCACCTACTGGTGGTTTTAGTGTCGTATTTATTTATCCATCACAGGCCTGAACCAGCCAAGGTACCAGCACAAAAACATGCTCAGCAAAATATTAATTATCATTATTGAAAAAAATCCCAATAAATATCCATATATCATGTCTATATCGCACACCCCTAGCTGATGGCTAGATATGTAAATAGCTCTTCATTTCTTTGCCTCATCAGTGGCGTTCCTCTTTAACTGGATTGGCTTCTTCCTGTCCTTCTGCCTGACCACGTCTGCGGCTGGACGCTATGGGGCCATCTCTGGGTTTGGACTGTCTCTGGTCAAATGGGTCCTGATTGTCAGGGTATGACATAAGATGTTACATATTACACCATATTAAACCATAGCAGTGGATTAATATTTAAAGAAGAGCAGTTGGCTTTTTATTTTATTTTTAAAATTAATGTTTTGAGTGCTAATTATTAGAGGATAAACAACACTCACCCTTTTCTTTCTGTGATTAAACAGTATTCTACCTACTTCCCTGGATATTTCGATGGCCAGTACTGGCTGTGGTGGGTTTTCCTCGTTGTAGGTGAGTGTATATTTGCACTTTAGTGTAAATAAATTTTTTTCATTACGTTCATTCATTAAAAATGATTATTAAAGAAAAATTAAAATTTGCTGAAAATGTGCTCACCCTCAGGCCATCCAAGATTTTTGTTTGTTCATCAGAACAGATTTGGAGAAATGTAGCATTGTATCACTTGCTCAGCAATGGATGCTCTGCAGTGAATGGGTGCCGTCAGAATGAGAGTCCAAACAGCTGATAAAAACATCACAATAATCCACAAGTAATCCACAGCACTCCAGTCCATCAGTTAACATCTGGAGATGGAAAAAGTTTCGTGTTTGTAATAAACTTTAAATCGTTGCTTCTGGTCAAAATACTAGTCCTCTCTCCATAATATTGCTTTCTCCAGTGGGGAAAAAATCTGAATCAGGAGAGAAATCTGCACAGATCAAGCACCGTTTACAAGCCAAACAGTCCAAAAAAATTCTAAACTAATATGTGGTTGGATTTTGATGTGAGAGACAACAGGAGATGGATTTTTTTCACTGGAGGAAACATTATTATGGATTATGGACTCATATTTTGTCCAGAAGTGATGGTTTATAGTTAAAACACCATAATGGATTTGTTTCTTACAAACACACAGCTTTTCACTTCTCCAGATGTTAACTGATGGACTGGAGTGGTGTGGATTGCTTGTGGATTATTGTGATGTTTTTATCAGCTGTTTGGACTCTCATTCTGACGGCACCCATTCACTACAGAGCATCCATTGCTGAGACACTGATGCAATGCTACATTTCTCCAAATCTGATCTGATGATTAAAAAAAAAGAATCTTGAGTGGCCTGAGGGTGAATACATTTTCACACAACTATTTCTTTAATATTATTACTTTGCTGTTAATATTAGTTTATATCATTATTCATTATATTTTTTAATATTAAAAAAATGATTATATTATTACAACTAATATGTGATTTGTTTTTTTTGTTACACCAGGATTCCTGCTGTTCTTCCGGGGATTTGTTAACTATTCCAGAGTGCGCAACATGGCAGATCATTCCATGTCTACCCTCCCTCGAACCCGAGTTCTTTTTATCTATTAGGTAAATCTTTTTTTTTTTTTAGATGGGTTTATGTGTGTGCATTGCATTAGGGGAAAATAAATTAAAAGACAACCTTTCAGTGATTTAAATGATTGTGGACATGATCTTAAATTGAAGGTGAAGTGTTTTCTCTTTTTTTGACTTTGTGAATAGATTAAAATCTCAGGATAATTGCAAAATGAACAAAACGGCAAAGTCAAAGAGAACCGCCTACAGCTTTTTTGAATCTTCAGGACATAACAACAGTGCAAAGAACACATCTGCTTCAGACGCCCTTGCACTTCTCAGTTGTTTGCATAATGCAACTCTTTACATTGGCATTTTTTACTAAAGCTTTCGAGTTCCTCCAACCATTTATCAGTGCTTAATACAGTCGTACAGTATACATTCATTATGCAGTTAGAAACTACTTACTTACATTTGCATGTGCTCCAGTTAGCGGTGAGGCCATCGAGAATCTGCTTTTGTAAAATTCCCCGTTTGTTTCTGTGGGTTTTCTCTTAATTTGTGGAAAAGTTGTAATTTTACTTTGTGAGTAAATCTAGTATCTGAACTTTGTGAACTAGAACAAGAGTATGTATATACAGTATACGAGAAGAGCGATATTAAACGTTATAAACATGCACTTTCAAGATATAAACAGAATAAGATGCACCGAGCGACTACCAGGTCCTTGTAAAGCGAAAAGCATGTTAAGGCAAAGTTTATTCAAGAATATGTCGGCTTGTTTTAAATTACTGTCACAAAACGGACCAACATACTCTTATTATATAATAGGTTAGCTTAGACTCATAGCAGTTCAATGTAAACGGCAAACTGATTCAGAATGAAAGCACACCTGATTATGTAATGCGCTTAATCAATCAGTATGAATTACAGAATATTTTATGATGCCAAATGTAGCAGTAGATGGTTCATTGATCTTTTAATTTTTATTGAAGGCTTCAGTTTGGGATAGTGCTTCTCAATGTGTTGTTTGTGATTTGTATGTTGTACACTTGTCAAGTAACTTTTAATAAATGTAACATCTATGGCAACACCACAGATCACTCGTGCATTTGTCATTATTATACACTAGCACTTTCCAGTTTGTGGTCCGTAAGAGTTTTTGAAAAGCTTATTCTCATCATTGCTGCTTTTATTTAGTAGTAATGTTGTGAAGGATTATTTATGGTTAGATTTTTTATTAATTACATGATGTGTAATTGATGCATCAGTTTTGGCTGAGATATTACCCCCCAAATAATCATTTCACTGTTCGATGAGAATGGACATTACAAAAAGTAGCTTTAGAAAGAAATGGTTTTTTTTTTCAACATTGCATAAATAATGATAATAAATGTGGTATATTTTTTTTAATGAATACTGAAATGTGAAATTATCATTCAAAAAATGAAAAGCCACAGCAGTTCTGCTTGAATTTTGGATCTTTTTCTATTGAGCAAAACCAGACGATATGGTGTCTGAAATTTAACGCCATATTAAATGTAATTAAATTTAACGCAAATCACATTTGCAATTGTTCAGATATTTGGGAAAACATCGCTCTTGCTCGTGTGGGATTGGTAAACTATATCACTTGATATAAATAAATATGACTTTTTATATTTTTATATCTTATATATTTAATTTTAGAGGCATGTAATTGCGTTTTAATAGGCTGCATCACACGTTCAGTCTGTCGTCCTGCATCACGTTCGTCTGCATCTGCATCAATCCTATGATGACTTTTTGCATGAATGCATTAATCATTTTAACGCATTATTTTTTCCACCAATTTAACACACTAAATCTACAGCCCTAATATTAATACAATTTAAAATAACAGTTTTCTATTTAAATACATTTTAAACTCTGATGCGCAGCTGAATTTTCAGCATCATTACTCCAGTCTTCAGTGTCACATGATCTTCAGAAATCATTCTGATATGCTGATTTGCTGCTCAAGAAACATCTTTGATTAATCGAAAGTTCAAAAGAAAAGCATTTGGATCAATTGAATGCATCCTTGAACCCAAAAATGTATCTTATTCACCCCAAACTTTAGAAAGCTTGTGCTTGTGTATCTCGCATACTGAGGATAATTTTTCAATCCTCAGTTGAACAATTCTATAGAAATCAATTATATGTGTGGTAGTAAAGATTATCTATAATTTGTTGGTTTAGTGTCTTACCTATTGTTTTATAATGATAGCAAGTATAGTAATATTCACTGATTATTCATTTGCACTAATTTTACATGAATCGACACAGTACAGGTCAGTGAGGAAGTTTATTGTATGTAACATGATCCAGAAAGGTACAATGACAATAATGTTCATATTTTGTGTTCGTGAAAAAAAATGAAACTAGTTCAATCAGACACGCATTACTATATGTGACCCTGGAGCACAAAAGCAGTCTTAAGTCGCTGGGGTATATTTGTAGCAATAGCCAAAAATACATTGTATGGGTCAAAATTAACGATTTTTCTTTTATGCCAAAAATCATTAAGACATTAAGTAAAGATCATGTTCCATGAAGATATTTTGTAAATGTCCTACTGTAAATATATCAAAACTAAATTTTTGATTAGTAATATGCATTGCTAAGAACTTCATTTTGGACAACTTTAAAGATGATTTTCTTAATATTTAGATTTTTTTTGCACCCTCAGATTCCAGATTTTCAAATATTGTCCTATCCTAACAAACCATACATCAATGGAAAGCTTATTTATTCAGCTTTGAGATGGTGTGTAAATCTCAATTTCAAAAAATTTGCTCTTATGACTGGTTTTGTGCTCCAGGGTCACATACATCAATAAGAAAAAAACCATGAACTGTCATTTGAGGTTGTTCTGACTGAACTCAATTCACTATTTAAAAATAAAAATAGGTTACAATTATAGTAGATGTATTCTATATACTGTTTTTTCAGTGCATATATAAATAGTAAGTTTTGACGTAGTTCCATCTACGGGTTAGTAAACATCTGCATATGCTGTATATTTGACTGTTCATGTGTAGTTAGTAGAGTAATTCTGTGATTTGACAGTGGATTATGTGGTGATTCAACACTTTACAATAATGTCCACTGATGCATTAACTATCATTAACAATAAGCAATACATTTGTTACATGCATTGTATTTATTATACAGTAAATATACAGTATTTATTTCATTTGTTAGTTCAGGTCCATGAAATAATGTTAACATTCAGCTTTTGATTTGAATAATGTTTTCAGTAAATGTTGAAATGAACGTTAACAAAAGGAGTCTTATTGTGAAGTGTTAGCGGTTATTCTGTGTGATTAAATATGATCAGGTTTCAGTCCTTTGTCTGGTCCACCTGTCGAGGGAGAAAGAAAACAGCCTTTTGTCCAATGTGTGTTCTTGGGCCTCGTTTCATTTTTCCGTTCTTTTTTATCCCGACGTACCAGTTTTCACCGTGCTTTTGAGACTGATACGTGTTGTAGTGGTTTTCCTCCATCCTCTCCAAGAAATAACTTTCATCTGTTACTAATGACTGCTAAGACACAAAGACACATAGTAGTTGTTCAGATACTGATGATTCCCTATCTTGTATCAGAAAGATTTCTGAAGACTTACTGAAGCATACAGCTTGCCGTCTTCATTCATAGAGAGGTAAAGTCCTGTCTCTGCTCCCTCAATGACCACCACTCCTGGACTAGTTGCTTTTATGCGCAGTATGCCTTTAAAACCACACACACACACACACACACACACACACACACACACACACACACACACACACACACACACGCACA